AAAGGCTGAAATCGCGTTGCTAGTGAAAATAAAATATTTCACAACCTCACTTTTTATATAAATTAGATTTTTTTTTTTACATATTAAATACTCATTACCGATTTCGATTCTCCTGACACATTAGCCTTTCACCTTAGCTTCAGGCAGCGATTTGTGTTTTTGTGGAACGAGTAACGTTAAAGATAAAGTTACTCCTGTAATAAGATAAATTAAGATAATTAGATTTATGTACATCTAATAGCGAATCATTATATTGCAACGCATATACTACAAAACTGAAGAAAAAAAAGAGTTTGTTTGAAGTAAAGTAAAACGTAAACAAAAGCAGCTAACTTGAGCCGTGAACTTCAGCACACATTCTTTGTTTAAACAGTAATCACTTTTTATATTTTAGGTCTTGTTAAATCAAATAAAAGTGTATTTGAGTGGATTAAAGGCTAAATAATGTAATAAAAAAGGTTAGATAATAGATTATTCTATGTTTTAGCATACCCTTGTCTCACGCGACCGTTAGCTCAATGCTAAACTTGTACGTTAAGTTTTCAAAGAAATAATTTTAAATAACTTACTTTGCTTGAGCTTCGTCTAAACTTTGGTCGGTAATCGTCATGATCTGTTGCAGGATATCTCCAATGTCTCGGCGGTTGTCGTGTCCATTTTCGGTGCCTTCGAGGCCCGCGGGGTCTCCTTCGGGGCGGTGTCGAGAAGGCGGGTGCACCGGGTTAAGGGGATGCATTCCAGGGTGGACGTTCAACCCGAGACCGCGGCTTGCACTGGGCCCGTTGCCTGTGATGGGCTGCTGTGGCTGCAACATCCTGAGCAGTACATTAATCTAGATGAGTGTGTGTGACTGTGAGTGAGTGTGTGTCCATGCATCACCACGCTGGAGTCCCCTAGCGATTGGCACATAAAAAACGTGCCCTTGCATGGAAATAGACATTTTGCAAATGCAAAAGTCAAAGATATGAGTACATTGTGATCACGCAGTCTGTTGCATGGGTCAAAAACAGTATGAAAACACACAGAGGTGAAATTAAATGAAACCTCATCTAACCAAGTCCATGAAACGTGGATTTATGCTTCCAGGAAAATGTAGCCTAAATGCACAAATATGGAGAACTTCAGGGTCTTTGTGAATAAATCTCACAAAACATGTCAGGAACGTGTTCAGTTTGCATTTCATTCTGAAATCTAAAGGGAAAAAATACCGAAATAAATGAAAAGTAAATGTAAATGTGATTATGCTTTAATGTATGCCAATTTAAAGAAATGATATGAATTATAAGTGGAATTAAAAATGTATTCAAAAAAGTAAAACATCCAGATGATTTAGATGGAAATGGTACACTCTAAAAAATGCTGGGTTAAATACAACCCAGTGCTGGGTAAAATAGGGACAAACCCAGCAATTGGGCTGTTTTGACCCAGCGGTTGGGTTACTACCCAGAAGGTTGTAAACATTTAACCCAA